GATCGACCGGATATCATGATACACGATAAGAAGCGACGTGAAGCAATCCTGATTGAGGTTGGCATTACTAGTCAGGACAGGTTGATAGCAATCGAGACTGAAAAAAAGCGAAAATAATGACCTACTGGCTAAGAAACTTGGGTCAGAGATGAAATGCAGGACCAAAATAATTCCGTATGTGATGGGATTGTATGCGAAGGAGATTAGTATATCAGACTACGTCGAGGCATACATCCAATCAATGGTTCTCAAGAAGACACTTGAAAGCATCTCTTTCGATACTCATCATGGATTCCACGAGGACGAAGCGAGAACGATGAGTACAACAATTTAGCGCAGGACAAGTACTGCCAGAGAGCCGCAATGCAATCCAGCGGTAGAACCAATAAAGCGAAAATTAAAACTCACCTTCACATTTTATTTATTAATATATAATCTCTGTTACATAGTTGTCGATATATCTTTATTTTTATCTACATCATTGGTAAGGACAGACATTTAAAATCGTGAAATACAGTTTGATCAGTGAAAAATAAAAAAGACACTAGCAGATTTAAAGTTTCAAAACAATAAAAATAAATATAGAGAAATTGGAGGGAAAATTTTGTAATTTGGTTATTTTGACATATAAGATGTAGAAGGTTTTCAAATCTATGAATTTAATGGTCTAGATAGTATAGGAACTTCAATTTTCTTTCTTTGCATTTTGTCGCTACTGAGAAGCATTTTAATCCTTAACTACAGGAATATTTCAGTGCTTGAATGATATTGGAGTTCCATAACGAATTCCAATATCATTCAAGCTTTTTATTCTCTGTTACTACAGCGATCTTCGTTTCTTTAGTACTCTAGTTGTGAGTATATTTATCAAAAGTTGTGCTTAATTTGATGAGTAATTGTTGTATAACATAAAACAGAGTAAACCATTTCAATCTCTTGACTGTAATGACAGCAGAAAAACGATATTTGTTGATTTCTGAATAGACATTCGCTTCACATATTAACTAATCATTTAAAAAATTGGATTAAAAACTATGTATTAAGTCAAAACATCGAAAATAGACATTTCTTTTCTAAATGAACTGAGTACGATACAACCATTATTATTTAAATAGTTCGATAACCGTTCATTAAAGAATGCAATATCACAAGCTGAAAATCTGCATGTTTTTGATGACATTGATCACCATACCACAAACTAAAGTTATATGTGCCAGATACGTTGATAAATATAATCAAGATGACTGGAAAATTTTGCAAGACAAGATGTTGATCATTATGGATACCACTTTGTAATTGATCAGTCTTAGCTTTGTGAAATTCAAAATATGCATCTTACTACTTGTCTCAATACTTATTTTTGATGGACCTATATCTCGGCTATTACCCCTTACCACACAAATTGCGCATCGTATTACTTCGGTAACAGCAGAACTTCAGTCATATTTATCTTACTACAAGTCTCAGTACACTTGTTCCCAGTGGTTCACAATCATACTCATAAAGATCATAATTACAAACGCTAACTCTTCTTGCATTTCTCTTTCATAACCACTTTTCTCCCATGGAATTACACTAATTCAAACGTTTAACAATTCTAAGATACCCTTTAGAAATGTCAAAAATTCTGATTGCATATGAACAAACAATCTGCAAGTTGCCCAAAGCTTTTGGTAGCAAATATTTGTATATGCTGCTCAGTGACATAATGAAACTAAAGTCCTCATTACTAAGAAGTTCCAATTAAGCTCTCAACTTTGGGATGCAAAAAGTTAGAGTACTGACAATCATTTAGAAAGAGTCAACTTCTTAACAGTTTATATTTCAAGCGATATGCATATATACCAATATTAAAATCATACAGATAGCTTTATACGAATAACTAACGAATTAACACAAACTGTACAGTTCTTCCAGATTACTTTATCACTTCTATAATAAAAACACATCACACAATTATAGTGTTCATTTTAAAGGACCGAAAACAATAAAATGTATAGACATGTGTATTTTTAGTTTAGAGAAAACGTTTAGTTTTCAAGACTGATAAACACAAAAATATATTTGGAAAACAAAAAGAGGATTTTCCCGCTTTCCCTTACATAAATGAAGATATATCTTTAAGATTTATAGCTCAATATCTATCTACAAACCACAACTTCCTACATTGTCATCAGATATAATTGAAAAACCACTTTTGACTGTAGTATTAATTAAAACATATAAAACCTCTTTGATTCTTCAAAATATGTATTAACGAAGTCGATTTGACGAAAATTTACAATCAAAATAAGAAAAATCAATCATTATAGATTCAAAGACAGCTCCTAAATTTAATGTTTTGGAAACAAAATAGTCGGGTAACGAATTTTGATTTTTTTCCACAAAACTTCATTTTCGAAAGTTACACTTGATCAATTCGTATCTTATCACAAAAAAAAAAAAACTTGTTATAGATAAGCAAAAACTAATAAAATAATAATACTAGACAATAATGAATCTTGTCATAAGTGAACTCATAAGCATATGTGAAAATTTTTAAATTAAATCCAGATCTTTGTTTCTTTCTTCAACAAGACCACTTTTCACATCATCCAATGTCATTTCTGCAAAAGAAAATTCTTTTATAACAATATTTTTAACATTGCTATTTTAATAGCATACAATTATTTCACGCCAAAATTTTTCTTGCTTAACAAGACCATTCCTTCGCATATTATGGATACCTAACTTGCTAACTGCTTTCCTACAATTATTGATAGATTTTCAAGAGCAGCTAACCACTTCTTTGAACAATTTGTTCCAAAGCATCCATGTGTGCTGATCCATTTGAAGCTCGCATATCTACATAATGTATAGCTTGTGTTTGACCGGAACTTTCATCCATGTAAACAATATTCACACCTGGTTGAGCTTCAAGGGAACCAAAATAATTAGTACTATCAGTTTCTTCAAGAAGGCTTATTCCATTTGTCGTTATAATTGATTGTGAACCCAGAATTTCAACTCGTCCTGTTGTGTTTGGATCTGTTGCTTCATTAAGAGACATATTTTCTAGCACCTAAAATAAAGCAAAAAACTAATTAATATGCATATAACCATAAAGATTTTATAAAATTATTATATTTCTAAAATACTGATGTCCTAAAAGTTGTCTAGCATGAAACGGTAATGAGTAGATAAAGCCAAGAGCAATGACTTCTTTCTTATCAAGTATTCTCAACTCAATAAATTGCATAGAAACGACTAAACCTCCCCAAATTACTATCATAATTCTGAACAAACACAAACAAATAACCCGCTAAAAACAATAGTTTTTAAATATCAGGAAACTCTCAGACGAAAATATTTCGATAAAGAGTAGTGTTTTGCTGAACTAATATGATGATTTCCAAAAAGAGGCATGGTAATATAATTGTGGTATTTTACCACACAAATTTTTCTCGCTAAACACTATCTAAAAGACGACTACTCAATTTTCAAAAAATTAATATCATTAAAACTTTGCAAGTAAAATAATCGCACTACATTTCCTTCAATTTCCATAGAAATAAAAACTGCTGCTGAATTAAAACTGTTTCAAATATAGTAATGAAGGAACCTGTGTCATCACGTAAATGACTGGTTTATTTGACGCTTTAGCAAGTCGTTGCTCCACTAAATATAATAAATATTCATCAAAAAGTAGTCGAATAAGATGGAAAGAACCAAATGACTGAGCGGAACGAAGTGTTAGATCTCGAATAATCATGGAACTATAAAAGAACTCAGTTTGAGCACTTGATTAAGTTAACTATAAACTACATGGTTTCTGATCCAACAAGTAAAATGAAAGATACCGAAAGTGCTAGAAGTGAAATAATTGATCTGTCTTTAATTCACTTTTCATAAATACTAAACAAGTTATTTGCAAGATATTCACTGATATTTAGTTTTTAGAGATCAGATTATTATCGTTTTTGGTAACTTTAAAATTCCAGAAAATAAGTTAGCAGATGATAAACAAATGTCCCACATTTTCAATTATTATATCTGTTCTTAACAAACAAACAGTTCAAATGCTTTACCTGTAAAAAGACCAATTTTTCAAAAATTGCTTTGAAACGTCAGCCAAAACAACATATGGTTTATCATGATAATTTGCCAAAACCTGGAAATTTCATGTATTTCATAAAAAGTCATGAAAAGTAAGATAAAACAGGAACATATATACACAGAATTAATATGAGAAAACAACTTAAGACGATTTATTTATTCTTCATTTCGGGTTGCTTGACTGCAAATAAAATGCCATCATTAACCTGGTCAACAACAGCTTCCATCCACTCTGCCCACTGCTCTAAACTTTTCTGTTTTTGCAAATTTTCTCGAAAATCCGATTGCAGATTGGAAACTAATATTGGATCACAATCACAGACCCAGCTAAAATTACCGTATTTTTTTATTACTCAAACTTTCAAAATTTCATGCTAAAAATGAAAACTGTCAGAGCAACATTGAACGAGCCTACTTTTCTGGGCTCCCTTGTTAATTTTCATTGTTTCCAAAATAGCACCTTGTTTCATATTACTCTGCAGATGTAAAAACTTCACAACTAAATTTCAGCACTAAAATAATTCGTTGCTACAAGCTATATTGATACATAAGAACAAAAACAGAAACAAAAGACAAACCCAGCCTGATCCTGGATGCTAGCTATATCGACGCGATTAAAATCTTGATACATTTGCTGAATCTGATCCGTTTTTTGTAAGACACCGCGTGCAGCAGAAGCCAAATGATTCAGTGATGTATACCGTCTCAAAGCTTGTGCCAGGGTGCGAACAACGATTAGCTTTTTCTTTTGAATTACATCAGGTGCTCCTTGCATTGCTTTTTTCAGCTGCATTTCCAACGTTTTTGCAAAATTACGAATTTGCAAAGTCAGTGTTCCTGAAATATATATAAGGTTTTAGTTTGAATCGCAAAAAAAACTTGTGAAAATTTCGCAAATTTTTACTCATGATTTAAAAGTGCATTTTATAACTTGCAAAATACTTAAGCCAGTTAAATTACCTCAATCTTACCAACACAAATGCAGTTATGCTTCAGAAATCTTTTAGCATTAAAAAAATCAATTTAAAAACACAGCCAAGAATCATTTAAAAAATTAAGCAACCTGACATACGAGGGCTCAATACATCTGGCACGAGAACTTCAGCAATCACCTGATAAAATGCATAATCCATATTCTGGACAAATGCCTGCATTTGAGGGACAGTACACAAACGGAAAAGTTGTATCTGACTAAGAGCTTTCAGTGGCCTGCTAAATACTGGCATATTTTATTAATATTAATTAATAGATAATTTTAAGAAGTCCACATGTTGTGGAATATAATTTTCATTTAATTTTCCATATAATAAAAATCGAACCAATTATAATGAAATTCAAGATGATGTAGAGCTTTCGACCTAACTTTCAAATTAAAATCAAAGTTTTAGACATTTCGCTGATTTTCAAAACTAATTATGAAAATATAAAGAAGAGTGATTACGAATATGAACACTCACTCATTACTAGCATAATCATCATTTTCAACATCTTCTTGATCATTTTCTGGTTGCCAAAATGTTGTCCAGCATTCTTCAACCATATCAAAATGCAGTTGTTTAATGCATTCCAAAACTTCCTAAAAACTTACATTAAGAAAAATTCTCAAAGACTTGAACTGATAATATAATAAATACCAAATTTTCTTCTATTATTTGAATGATTAGGTTTTAAATGAGCAATTGAAATCGAAATAAAGATTCTGTAATTAATAACAATTTTAAATGAATTAAGAGCTTGAAAATTATCAACGAAGAAAATTGTTAAATTAATTCAAAGATTTTAGACATTTCGCTGATTTTCAAAATTAATTATCATTAAATGAAAAAATGTTTTTATCAGCTTACACTGCAATTGGTGGTGTAACATTCAATAAAACGCACTGCATGCTGCAACGTTAATCCCAATGGTCTTAAGTAACTTTCTAAGCCTTGCATATCAGGTATTGCAACCTGTGGTACCTCACCACTGCCAAGGGATTCTCGATCCAAATCTCAAAAAAATCTCTCTTTCCCATTCTTTCGAAAAAACAAGCTGACTTTAGACATTTCGACCCGATAGCAATTAGTAGAAGGTTCTGGTCTAATTTTTTTTTATTTTAAATGAAAGCTGAGGAAAGAAAACGTGATAAAATATTGCAATTATCTTCGCTAAAGGAAAAATTTTCAATCTCATTTTATTGCATAGTAAAAGTATTGCGATCTGGTGACTTACCATGTTCATAGGTAAACGAGGGACTCCTAAAATGATGATTATTAAGTATAAGAAAAGTAGCATCACAAAACAAATAATCACAAACATTTTTATTTGGCGGAAACAAATAAACAAAAGATCATAATATGGTATCGTTCTCAGACACAAAAAAAATTGCAAGACTCACGATGCCGAATTAGCGGATAAATGGCCGAACATAGCGCCTGTTTCCATTACATTTGTATTGGTTCGTCGATTGACTAAATTAGAATTTAAAGCAGAACGCCGAGATGAGCTGAAAACAAAATTTTATTTTCCAGTACTCACTAGAGAAGAATAGAAATCACAACTGTCAAGCTAAATGAATTATTAAAGTAGTTAAATTACCTTCTTGATGGCAAATGACTGACAGAATGGGTTGATGATACCAATGAAGTATGATTATAATCTTCACCCAGCGTCATTACCGTTCCAACACCACGACTTAATGGTGAATCAGGTTTGATTCGAATTCCGTAGTAGTGATATTTAGAATTTCCACGTGTACCCAGACGACGAGTACGTAGACCATGAAACACTGATCGAATCAGTTTTCCAAATGATGCTGCATTCACCGGTTCAAGTTTATTATCATTACAATGCCTAAAGTTATAAAAATACATAAACTTGCATTCATATTTCATTTTTAATAATTACCATTTACAATGCAGTACAACGATCCATACCATACAAAATACTTATATGATTAAATACTTACTTAATATAATGACTGTACAAAGTACAACGAGGAAGCGAGGTACCATCAGCTGGTTCGTAATTATTGATCAACCAATGGATCTGTAAAATTATTTCTAAAGCTCTGCCGTTATTAAAATAATGATATTATTGACAGCGACATTCAAAATAATAATATTAAATTACCACTAAACAGTCAGTCAGCCAAAGATAGAAAGCTGAAACCTGGTAGTTTTAACGGTTTCATTTCTATAATTTACTTTCTTACGGGCCATAAACAATGAACAAGTAATACTTCCGTATTTTTTATGAAACTGAAAAGTGCCAATAACTCAGATCTTATATTAAATGAAGAAAAAACAGGAAAACTTTTAATGAATTATATATTACAAATTAGGATGACATAAATTTCCAATTTCAAGATATTCTATAAGATTAGTTACAATTAGAAGCACCATATTATTCCTATACTAATCAAATTTCAAACAACCATAGTGTGTCTGCTTTATTTATTCTTGGCTGTTTAGTAAAAGTAAGCTAAATACTTCAAGAACCATTTTATCAGAAAAATAAAAACTTGGTAAACAGGGCAACAAATATGAATTGCTTTGATCAAATCGAGATGCAATTTGTGTTCTACATCATTCATCTTATAATCACTACCACTAATATTGTTTAATGCTGTAGTATTATTCCGCATTATTTCCAGGCACTTTTAACAACCATAGCATTTCTATTCGACTTTTGATTGGCTAGAAGAAGATTGAAATTTATCATCTCTAGCTCAACTACGATACCTACCCGATCAATTATATTTCTCTTTCTGTACTATGCATCTTTCTTCAATTCTTTCTTTCTTTGCAGAAAAGAGTACTTTACATCATTTCTACCGTTTCTCTTCTTCATAGCAAGCTATCAAATCATTAGCTTCCACGATCAGTACTCTTATTTTGATCCCTTACGACTATAATAATTACTTCAATTTGGTCAACATGAACATTCACACTATGAATAAAAAACATCAAGGATTACTTATGTAATTATGTAAGAAACTGCTGACATGTCGCCCACTTGATATAAACAGTATCTAACGAATGATAATAATTCATGAGCTTTCATAACAAGATAAAAAAAGCTTTCAGATTGTCGTTGTTGAAAAAAAGTCAAGCGCAAAAGAAATAAATTTCAAAATATAAAAATCGAACGCATAAAAAGTAAATCAAAAATAAATTGACGACAAAAACTTCATTTCAAATAGCATGCATGCAAATAGTGTGCCTTATTGGATATTTCACAAAGTTAACTTTCGATCTTTTCTGCTAATTTGACTATTAAAATTTTTTGACCACACGCGATTTAATATCTATGAAGCAAATGGCAAAAGCGCACTAAGTATTACCCGAATTTGAAACTTAATTAGGACTTCTCTTTTTACCTATAATTGAAATAAATTAGATTCCTGCATGAATAAAATATATCATAATTATCAAGCAAAGATAAAAGTAGATTAGCAACCATAAGTTGCAGAATCCAAAATTATTTGATACTTCATTACTACCTAGTCGACTGTTTGCTTCTCGAGAAGCTGACAAAAATATCAAAATTTTTTCAAACACATTTTTTTAAATTTCTTTGAAGTGCTTACTGTAGCAGGTGAAGCACGTGCTGTATGACCCAGTTGGGCGCTAACATCTTCTTCTACGGATGCGGGTGAACCTTCTTGCTGTACAACGTAAGTTTGTGTTGGTGAGTGCACCGGTTGATACTATAAGTAATAAGATCAACAAAATACAAATGCTAGTGTTATATAAGTTTTTTTTTGTTTTGAAGCGTATTGAACATCTACTGAATTATCAGTGCAATGAAATATTGTCAAATTTATTAAAAGGAATTTATAATAAAATATAAGAAAATAAACTAACCTGGTAATATGATGGGTATTCCGTGGTATAAACATAACTAGCATTCCTGCAATACAATATTAATAAGTATGAAATACGTTGATAGCTGTATTTAAATTATGACTTTTGAAAAGGTGTGACTCAAAAGCTAAAGGCAAGACAAGAACAACAGCATGGTCACAACATCTTGAGTGAAAATACAAGAAAGCAACAAAATAACATGAATATTGAAGTAAAAAGATTAGTTTCATCTTTATCTTTCCAATTTTCAAAAATATTATCATTCCAAAATTTTTTTTCATTGAAAGGGAAAGGTATTTCATGACAAACTATTTTATATGTGCTTTCTATAATTCCTACCATACTACTCCTTAAAAATCGTCATTTGTTGGCACATGTGCAATCAATAACAATAATATTCTTATTATTAATATTGTAACTGTTAGTGCATAATGTGCATTTATCTTTGCCTTAATTTCACCTTTATATCCTCAATCATTCTTAGTATTTTCCGTTAAAGCTATTAAATGTCAGCTTAAACGTCGGTGTCCAATCATCAGTCTCATAAGACGTATTATTAGAAGGCTTTGAAAGCTTTACACCATACCTCAGCCAACACTAGCTATTATTACCTCAACTAAAACTGCTTCCGGAAATTACACAGTAATCTCTGCCCCTATCTTTGCTTCTCTTTTACCATACAAAACTAAAAAAAATTATAATATTTAGCATTCACATCCATATAAAAGATTCAACTGTCAGTAAAGATTGACATCCATTAAAAAAGAAAATAAGCTTAATGAACCTGAATTAAGAAAAATATCTCGAATTGAGCCTGATTACCATTGAAAAACCATCAGCCACTATCTTTTTCACTAATGCACTTATTAATTTGTTATATGATAATGATTTTAAATATTCACATCCTATTTCCATTGATTCCATAAAGAAATAAGTTTTCGAACTTACTGTCCACTTTCTCAACTAATTACGAAAATAACAATAAATTAAGTATAAGACAATATATGGTCATAACAAACAAATAGACTAACAAATGAGCTGTAAACGAATAAAATAATAAAAGTTTATAAATATTTCTTTTATAGATGCATGTTTAATGAAATAAATCAGTGAATACAGTTCACATATTATGACTGTGAAAAACTGGCTTAATGAATACAAAAAATAAAGCAGAAATTCAGTACCTGACCTCAGATTGATTACCCTTTGCCATTATCATAATTTTAGATACGATATCCGAAAGACGAAAATATTGAAACTTAGGCACACATATTTGAATAAATTGAGTAGATCCCTTTTACAGAAGAATAAGTTTGCATAATGCAGGTGACATGAACTAGATTAGTCTCCAGAGAGAGCGAGATATCTAAGCAGGTAAAAAGAGAGAGAAAGCAGTAAGCTTGAGGTACATTATAATCATCTTAATGAGGGCTAGCTTACTGCTGTGTTAATCATTAACTCACACCTGCTTTAATAAAATTTTTACTCCAAACAAGTAAATAGTTGATTCAATGACTGATTTATTCAGTTATTAACTAAAATTCCTAAATCTCATTTCATTTTTACTGCTTCAAGAGAAGAAAAATAAATTGAAAAAACAATCAACCTGACTTCTCTGATAATTATCGGAAAACAATATTAGCATATTCGAGGATTATTATTTGCACGAATGTGATGACGAAAAAAGTAGTGTACTAAATACTAGAACTAAAATTAGTGCTTTTCTAACAACCAAATTGTAAACTACATGATTAAAAAAGAACTTGTGGAAGGTATACTGAAGCTATTAACTAAGAGCCGAAGACAGATAAAATTTTACAGGCTAATATTTGGTTGTGAAGTAGTCTGATAATAGAATCTTTAATATGGAGGTATCAAGCAAATGCTTCTTTACATGATAATGCTGAATGAAAATACTGCTTAAAAAAAGTTAAAGATCGACGAAACTTACAAGACAAATGAGCACACAACAACATCTCGGGCCTAATATTCTATCATATTTCACCTTGGTGATAAACATATACAAGTAATGCACAGCAACCGATGACAACCATAACGACAACAACCGTGGAATGGTCTCCAAGACGACCCTTTTCATAGAAACCAAAAAGAAAGACATCATTTACAACTACTTTCAAAAAGTCTGAAGAAACGAGCAAGCTTACATCAACTTTCCTGTCTCCAAATTTTGAAAGTTTTTAATCAATTTAAAACTTCATATTTTTCGTTATTTAAATTATTTGTCTTTGCTTGATTTTTATTTATTACTTCATATTTTTATAAAATCAGAATGACTAGTTTTTATTGATGCATCTATCTGTTGTAGAAATCTCCTCAATGACAAGCTGTATTCCTATTAACATATTCTTTTAATCGAAATTCTACTGAAAATACGTAACATTGAGAGTATAAATGAATACAAAAGTTTTTAGCTAAATAAAAATGCAATATACTACTAGCAGTTTCAACGGTTCTGGCTTATAGACAAAGATAAAAGATGATTATTTTTGAACAGAAATTGATGCTACGCAAGCAGTCATATTGCATGCTTAAGAGACATCAAAGCAGTCCATTATTTTCTGGTTATAAATTGCTCATTCTGTCCATTTACTACCAAGAATTACATTTGTGTATGACTAACAACTCGAGATTATGATCATCAAAACTTCTATGTGAGATATCAAGTCGTAAATAAAAATCACCTCATCAAGTTTTCGTTGAGCAGTGATTTTAGAAAAGATTTAACGTAACATTAACTGCATTCAAGACTCATTATTTTTTTAATGAAAAATTTTCTTTTTTCTCCTAATTTTGCTAAGAATCAGTAGTTCACTCAAGGGATCATCGTCAGCTACATTTTTTAGCATCTGATTGAGACAGAAAATTAACGGATGGTATGATAAACTATAAAACAACTTTCTAATATCTAGCAAACATATCACATTCTGCTTTGGTTTTTTTTGTACTCTTCCATGGCTACATTTTTGTAGCAAATACTAATAATAATTATATCATGAACACATTTAGTGCTCTGCTTTTAAACACTCACCAAAACATATAATTATTGCCGCTATCTAGATCAAAATTTAAAAATAAAAGTGCTACATACTGCTTTAAGTAAATATATCTTCATCCTAAAGTCCTTATCAAAAATTCTTCTATTTTTACCATTTTGGAAATACTTTTACATTCAACCAATCGCACTGATCTGAAAAATTAAAAGAAAAAGATTCTTTTCAAGTCTCTTATCGTCAAAATTAAAACAGTTCTATCTAAAAAATAGGTTTTGTGCTAGTGACGATCTAAATTTAGGTACTGCATGCAGCACTTCTTCAGTACATTTTGTGAAAACAGTTGCGTTTCAACATTGAATCCTAATATAGGTCCATGGATATTTTGAAAGGTACATCTCTTTTTACAAAAAAAAGAATTCTCTAAGACAATATCAAAAACTGTATTACATGTAGCAATTTAAAATGGAAGTTACCTTATAAAAATTGATTCTGCTAATGAAATTTAAAGGTATGGAATACTTTTAACTTATCAAATCAAATAAGCAATCTGTAAAGCTTCACCAGTAGTTTCCGAGAAGTGTAATTCAAATTGCGTAAATCCAAGGAACTTGGCAAACTTAATCCTTTAAAAAACACTTTCCACTACCTACTTATTTTGTATTTCAAATCGAGATATTCGTTTTGCCTGGTCTAATTAGACTGTCTTCTATACATTTTTTCTTGCCTCTCTGATTTCAAATCTAGCAGTACTCATTTACATGGGCGATAAACTGTTTGACACTGACTAAAACAATTGTACCTGTTTCTAAAAAACTTGTAATTGGAAAATGGCACTTATTATGTACCGATCTCAGGCTATAAAAGTTACCGGTGGTACATTTCTTGACCCAGAAAACAGAACAACGAAATCCACGTTCAAAGCAAACAGTAGATAAAGAAATTAAGTAAAGATCAAAATGTTAATCACATTCCTTTCACTAATTATTTGCAAACTTTTTAATTTAGAGGATTAAGAAGAACAGAGATTACAATACTTATGACTGTTATTCACTCAAACAATTTTAGAAAGTACCCGAACAGTTTATTTCATTATTCAGAACACTTTTAGACTGTAAGTGCTATTAACTGTAACTCCTAACCTCAGTAAATACGTTGCATCTTGCAGTAAAGCGATAAATTATATCACCGAACTGCAGCACAAAACCACAATCACAACGAAATGTCTTCATGCTTCAAACAAAAGTAGTAACTTAAGTACGTTTGTGTTCCTTGTGCTGCTGGAAAAGCATCCATAGGTGTCAGCTGACTTGACTCGCTATCACCATTGATATCTCTTGAACGAATTACAATCCTATCTAGGACAGCACTTTCTGCTTGACTTGTAAAATCAATCTGCTTCGCTGAAGTAATAGTAGTAGCTGTTCTCAATATGGTTGCTTCAGATGCTCCTATTGCTGCTCTTATAGCAGGTAAGGGCAAATAACTATTATTGTTATTAGAAGTAGTGGTAATAGCAGTAGTTGTAGTAGTAACAATAGTAGTAGTAGTAGTGGCATACGCTACTTCATCATGTAACGGCAACTGACTACAGATACTAACTACAATTGATCTTTCACCAAGCTTTTGATCACTGCTTCTTCGAGTATCAATAACTGCTATTTTGTTTGCTGTTGATGCAAATCTGCATGTTATGCGTGAATCTGATGCTGCAATAATCTGTTCAGTTTAAAAATGCGTGAAAATTTTAAAACATTTTTTTTCACTAGAAAATAAAGCCAAATAGAGTAACGAAAAAAAGGTTATTAGCTGCTCAACTAAATGAATAAAAATTTTATCCAACTGAAATTTTCTTTTTCCACAGTCATTTAACTTTTTATTTTCTTAATAACTTCTAATCATTAAGTAGAGGTATACTATTCCCTATATTTGTATAACCGTGACACAGAAATCTACTCTATCAAAACGCTGCTTTTTGCTTATTTGTTTGAGTTCTTATATGTCATCATCAGTTTTTGATCTAAATGTTTTAAAAGCAAGTCAAGTGCAACTGAAATGAATAAAAAAACAGTACATCAGTAAAATTTAAGATCACTGTTTCAGCGCAAAATTAATTTCTGTGAAATGAAATATGATTTTATATAACGACAGAATGAATAATTGGACAAATTTTCAGTCTTAATGAATGAAATACGGAGATGTCTCAAATTTTTCAGTATGAAGATCAAACTTATTTTCTATCATTAACTGAAACAGCTTTTGCTCTATTCTTACGAAAAATAAATCACATTTCACAAAAAAAATTCACACATATAATGAAACGTTGACTCAAGAAAATTTTTTTCACCATATCACTGATGCGGTTTTTATCTTAAAGATAATCACACTAATACCAATAAGTTACTGATGTAATTACTGATAAAGTGCTACTTTTATAATATAAAGATGACTATTGGTATTATTTTGAAAACATATCAATAATTTATTAAATTTTTTGAAAATACATTTTTTTCATAAATGAATAGTGTGCTCTCATGATTTAGCAAGCATGTCAATAATTTTATTTGCATTCTATATTCATTATAGTCCTTAAATTTCAGTATCAGCACTAATTGTGAAAATGCCAGAATGCTATACCAAAAGTGAAATATTAAAAGAATATAAAGGAAAAGTATACATGTAACAATTATTTTATACGATTAAAAAATATATACCAATGACATTGATATGACTTTAATCGCTTTCATAAGGCAAAGAATAAATCAGAGATTAGCTAAATGTAATCAATATGAATAACTACAAGACTAGTGCTATACTTAAACTTAGCAACTATCATATATAAGTGATATTTTCAAAAACCTAAAATCTACTTCATTAATAATGAGCTTCACTGCTGGCAAATTGATCGATTCCATCAAAAGTAATAATAATAATAATAAAGTCTCTCATTTACCTATACCGACATAATACCAATCATTTTAGTCATATACTACTACTAATTGTAGTACCTAACAACAATATTAATAATGCTGACTGAATGATTAATCAGAAAATCAAAGTCATTTGAGACTCTCATAGGCTAATTAAAATGACCTGAACTAAATCTAGACTAATAGCAATAATGACCCTAAATCATGGAAATGATTTAATGATAAAAATGCAGTGAATATTTCCTTGTACATTACTCTTATTTTTTATCATTATATTTTTACAGCTATCATAATTCAATATTTTACCGCTGATCTGCTGATAATAATTTTTTGTTCTTTGAACTTATCTTTTATCAGATATTATCCAGTGAAATTGGAAATAAAAAGTTTATTTCCTGATATTTTTTAGGTCATTTTCGCGATGAGTACAAAATATGCAAAATACAAATGCAACAAATCACACTTTCTGATCTCCAATTTAAAATTATAAATTTAATACACATTCAGGACTTTTTAATGCCAAAATACTTTAGTTAACTTTAGATCTAAATCATTTTCTGCCAAACGACAAAAAATTATTCAAAACAAGACAGCCATAACGTTCTTTTAGTTTTCTAGTCTTTGATCGAGAACCTGAATGGATTTTTATCAACTAAGAGGTGATAATGCACATGCTGAGATGAAGTAGTATTATTATTTAAGCTTTTTGAGATTAGAAGCAATCAACTACCTATGAATGACATGAAAACTGCGACCAACTATATAATATAAGTATCTCAAATGAGCCAAGCAATAAATGAAGCAATGTATAATTCTCCTTCTCACATCCTAACTACTAGCACTAAAAAACGATAATGGCAAAAATATTTTGTCTCACTAAAACTTCATAGTACTTATTGTTAATAATATATCTTGCAAATGTGTCCATTTTCTGCACAGTCCTGAAATTTTTACATATACCACATACTATTTTCGCTCTAGTTTATAGCATTTATGGTTAGATTATAAAAAAGTCAGCGGACAATAATTACTATAACTTCGAACTTTATTGCTTGCTTTGTTTAGTGAATACAATCGAATATGATTAGTCAAAAAGTAGAAAAGAAATGCTAATTGATAAAAGTAATTAATGAGTATCTTGATAAAATTTAGAAGTGATAAGTAATAATGATAATGACAATTATTACTGTTGAATAAAATTTAGAAAAGTTATTTCACCGATGTATGAGCTTTATTAAGCTTAAGACTGCAGCATCATAACGGAGTTAGCACCTAGCTAGAGAAGCTTCTAGGCTTCTGCTTTCAGCCAATAGTACACGATGCAGCGATTTGCAAGACAGCCATCACTAAAAGGATAAATGAAACGGTGCAAAATCAATTTTTAAATAAGCCTCAGCAAGGCAAGTTATCATTACGTGGCCAAGAGATGAAATGAATTACATGGACAAAGTAAGGCAGAGTAAAAGAAGAAATATCCAAGATATTTACTAGAAGCAGTAGCAAGATTAACACACTTATTACATCGCCTACGGTACAATTTCTGCCTAAATATGTCAGCAAATACCTAAATCTTTTTATCTTTCATCATCTATGTTCTGTCATTTCTATTATTTAATGTTACTATTTGAATTATTGATCTTAACATTTGTGATAAGTCTTATCTCTCTCACATCATATTACATTCGTGATAAGTTCAATAATCAAAGGTCTACACCAAATTATTAAAATGTAACATTCATACCTAAAGTTTATATCTCTTCAAATAAAAACTTCAGTGATGATTAGAATGGCATGGCAAAATCTATACAAATCATGCCCGTTCATCATGTTCAATTCTTGCGGTGACAAATGATGATACTCTTCTTCAACACAACTATTAATAACTGATTACATTCTCCTGCTTATTCCAACCACATATCACACCAGTAATAGTCGAATTGAAATTGCTTTTTAAATTTGGTACGTTTCTTCCTTTTTGTATTTTTTATTTCATTTTCTACCTCAAATATATTCTCACCAACTTGTTTTTCGCAACTCCATTCATTCATATAGACTTTGTATGTCCGTATAGTATATTTCACATCTTCAATGACGGTTTTTTAATGGAAGTCTTCAATACTTTTTCTCAATTTATTCAGCGCAAATCTACTTTATAAAATAAAGCTTGGGAATTTTGCATATGAATAAGAAATAATGATATTTCTTACGATTATTAAACTCAGAAGACAGCTTGTTTTTTGTTTTTTTTAAACAATTAAGCATAGATTTTCTATTTACGTCTAAAACGATATAACTCATCAAAAGTACTATATTTTGAAAAAAAATGATAATTTCCTGCACTTGACTTCAGTATACAGCTAAGCATTTTGGTCATCCAAAATTTATTTACAGAACAAGTGAGTAAAAGTACGAATTGCAAATAAAGAATGTAAATAACAAGTTGAAACACAAAAAAAAGGCTACTTTTACGTCAAAAATAAAGTGAAAAATTGATAAGTTAGCAATACTTACAACAATGAAACACATAAGTAGTGAAATGGTAGAATGTGAATGCTGGCACAAATCTATCCATGAAAGATAGAAAATATAGGTAAGATGATAATAACCAGATAGATAGTAGTAACATGTTGATAATGATTATAACTGATGACTACTTTGAAGAATAAATCTCAAAGCCAGACTTCTTTGATCAAAAGCAAATGAGAAAAATGAATCGTTCAAAACATTCTAAATTTATAAAGATGCCTTTTATGAGTAAACTCTTCCAACAAAGTGGATCACATTTTAACAATGACTAACATAATATTTTATTTAAAAAAGAAATTGCACGTCTTCTTTTTTTCACCACTGATATGTTTCTCATTCTATACGGTAAGCAAGCATACTATTTTGATAGACTACTCTTTTTTAAGCATTATTACTTAGCTAAAATCAATTACCACAAAACCTCTCAAAATGCAGATTACCAATTTACAAATTTTATATAATAGTTGTTAGCAGAATAAGTCGCTTACTAAAACTTGATTGAAAATAAGTGGTAGAACTGTTATATTGAAAATATGTGCTCTAAACAGATAAGTAAGCGCAAAAAACTGTGAACTTCAAAGTAGTCACCAGTTATCATCATTATCAACATGCTACTACTATCTATCTGGTTATTATCATCTTACCTACATTTTCCACCTTTCATAGATAAATTTGTGTCAGCATTCATAGTCTACCATTCCACTACTTATACGTATGTGTTTTATTGTTGTAAGTATTGCTAACTTATCAATTTTCCACTTTATTTTTTACGTAAAAGTAGCCTTTTTTCAGAACCTAATTATTTCCTAATGATTACAATTTTCTAACCACTACTTCTCAAATTACAACTCACACTTCAAGTAATGCTGACCCCAACAACCATCTTAATAAAAGTTAAAACCTACTACTACTAACAACATTGCTCTTTTTTGATTTCTTTGTCTCAACACCATCAGATACTACATGTTTTCGCAATCTGAGACTGATATTTCCCATCAAATAACAGTAACTCAATCATAAACATTGCTAAGCTAATTGAACAATATGTCATTCAAATTCCCTAACAAAATTTCCATTCATGAAAATGAATTCAAATACCAACTTCCTGATAAGAACATGCTTGTTAATCTTTATCACTTTTTAGCAGAATTATATAAGCTAAACACTCCTAATCATGGCTAAAATTGTACTATATGCAATGCAATCAAATTATCTACGACATTTTCTAATTTTATGCAATGGAAATAATCAAAAGCATCAATGTGAAATCTGCCAGAAAAATGATTGAATAATGACGAAAAATGATGGAGCATAACGCTCAAAAATCTATCTTCCTTACCACTTATTATTATCATTATTATCATTGATATTGTTGGTGCTATTACTTCCATTATTATTTACATCCAATTATAATTCGTATGTTGGAAAACGCAAATTTACTACAAACACCTGCTTATTCCAATTTCCGACATACATATATATATACCTCACTACCCTCTACCTATGAAACACATCATGTTACCGTGATTTTGCTCTATCTTTGTAGCCATATTGAAATACATTATCATTCCCAATTTTTAATTATTTTTTTAGCTATTTTTCGAAACTATAATCATTAAAAATGTACACGAGAATTTTTTGCTTCCCTTATTCATTTATATCCCGTATTTAGATAAGAAAACACTGACTGAGAACACTTCAAAACTTTCATAAAAATGATGCTCTCAGTTTTTTTAGAGCACCAATATTTTAAAGTTCGGCTGATGTTAAGACAGTGTATATGACTCTACTCCGGAAATTTAATTTCACAGAACTTCTGGGTGCGATTCTGCTACCCCATAAATTAAAAAAAATCCTATATACTTGTATAAGCTTGAAAGTTTCAAAACCTTCCAAATCGTTCTTACCACCTGCCGTTTTTAGCTTTAACTGAAACCCAAAATTTGGCCGCAAAATTTTGAATACTAGAACAACTTACTTATCGTCTTCCAAACTTATGTAGTTCAACACTGTCACAACAAATCCAGCGTAGAATAATACATGAAACTTGATACGCCTTTTAAATGACATTAAAAAACACTTCCTAGCTTGTCTTGTCAATCCATTAATATAGGGCGACGCGGAAATCTTTTTGAACTGATATTTATATAATCCGAAGCAATATCTTTGGATGAAGCTGACTACCGAAGTAACGATTTTTAATGATTGAAAATGAAATATTTTGTTTGATAATGAAGGAAAAGGCTAATAAATTATTCCAATAACAATTTGTAAAAATGTATCAAAATAGTTTATATATAAAAAGAACATTGCGTTTGGCTTAGTGCACACTTGATGGTCATGACAGCATGTAAATTTGAAAATAATGCGAAGAAAATCACTTGAATAAATCAAGATTTTTGCTGCTGAAAATCCAATCGACGTCTTATTTTTCAGAAGCACAAAAATAGTACCAAAAA